CCCTCAGCTGGTGACATTAATGTTGATCAATGAATTCAATTAGTGATTATAAATTTAGCTCATAAATTTAGGAAGTGCTAATCCACTAATGAGTTAAGAAATTAGCAAAAGCACTAATCAGAAAATTAGTTTCCCTATTAGTGTTTTAGTATTTTAGGGGAACTGTGCCCACCACTGACTGGGACCCATTTGAAATGTGGGTTTTGAAGAAGATTGATTTAAAAACAATCACATATTTAGAAAAAAACAAAACAATTATAAATTCATGAAAATTATCTAAYGTTCATTAAAACCACTTCTTTAATTCTTTGACATTTTTCTGAAGCTGTCTGTTCAGTTGTTGGTTTAAATTTAATAAAGCTCAGAACGTCAGTGGATGAACGTCTACTAAACATGTCAGCCACAACAAAAACAAGCATCTCGTCCAGTTTTACAGACGCTAAGCCGATATTTGGTGTGGTAGTAGCTGAGAGTCGTTCCAACACGTCTCTGACCAACAAGTAGGTCCTGTMTCCTCAGGATTAAAGCTCTGGCATGACGTTGTCTAACTCATTTATTTTTCTTTATACTGAGTAAAAAATAAAAAGAATTACAATAAAAAGAAAAGAGGAAGCTTTTCAGCTCTTCTCAGTCAACATAAAAATCAGAATAAAAAATCAGGAGAAAGGATTTAAAGAAACCTTTAATAAAAGACGAAGTGTTACACCCTTTTTCAGAAGATGGACACCTAAACATGACAAAGTTGTACAAACAAACCCAAACAGACTCACGGTGCTCACACTCACACCAAACCCACAGAGACGGCGTGCGGCACATGAAACATGATGCGTACAGTGTGAAACAGGCGGTCCTGGTCTGCAGCACTGATTCAAGAAGAACGAGTCTAAAAAGTCCCTCCTTGGACCAGAGCAGCAGGATGTGAGGACAGCTCCCTGGAAGGAGACGGGGACCGAACAGGAAGACAGAAGCGAGGAGGAGGAGGAGGATGAAGCTGTCGGAGCAGGTCAGGAGGTTAAAGCGTTCCTTCGTCCAGCAGTTTGTTCAGGCCGTTGCAAATTTTCCTCAGAGGGAGTCTGTACTCCTCTCCGTCTCCGTAGAGCTCGGCCAGGAAATCCCCGCGGGCGAAGTGGTTGAAGACGTGGTCGATGCGTGCGTGCGAGCGCGCGGTCAGGTGCTGCTCCACCAGGCCGTGCAGCAAGTCCCTGCACTCCAGCAGGAGCTCCGACAGGATGTTCCTGTCGAAGGTGTAATCCACCTCGTAAAACGACACCGCCGTCATGGCCGCCTGGTTCATCTTCTTCTTGAAGCGCTCCACCGTGTCCAGCTCGTCCGGGTTGAACTGGTGGTTCCGGTACAGGATGCCGATCTTCAGGGCGATCTTGATGACGTCTTTGATGATCTTGTGGGCCTCCTTCTTGCTCTTGGTGAACTCGCGGGACGTCTTGTAGAGCTCGTCCAGGATCTCGCTGCTGGTGTCGTCCGTCAGCATGTTGGCCACCGCCATGGTGGCCATCTTACTCAGGATCTTCTTCTGGGCCTGCAGAGCCAGGGAGCGGGAGTTAAAGCTCTCCTGTCCTGCAGGAGGAGAAGCAGAGAAGAAGTTAGTCTGARCTTCACAACAAGCTTCATTTACAAAATAAATCACAAATAAAATTTGTTMGATATTTTAGGCCAGTTTTTGTGTTTTCTTCTTGTATCAGCATCAGCTGATCCGTGTTGGCCAATATGATAAAAACACTCTGTTTGTTTTTATTGTTTTATATTTAAACGTTCTACATTGCAGGGGCGGAGCTAGACCTTTTTGCAAGTGGACTCAGGGGCTAGACCGGGTCTTTGGTCAACYGCGAAGACTGAAAAAAGTGTCTGAATTTGGACGGTGTAGTCTTCTTCTTTATTCCCGCGCTAACTTACAGGTAATATCTGAAGAACTAATGGACCTGCTGTAGGTGCGTGTTTATTTCTCTAAACCAGCTCGTTTGATTTCYGACAAGAATAATATAAAAACACGTTTAAACAAATGATGAAACCATCAACAACACAACTGTGTGAAACTTTTCATTTTTATACCAACAGATTTGTATTTAAAACTGTACTACTTTCTCTTGCCTTGTCCACCATTACTAGAAGAAAAAAAATGTCTGGTCGGCCTGCAGTGCATTATGGGATATGGTGGGCTGAGAAGCATCTGGGACAAACAACGATGGTTGCATCAGAGGAGTCTTTGAATCTGGACAGCCTCTGAATGTGGACACAGCCAAGGTGTTTTGTAGATTTCATACACAAACAGAAGCACTCTGGATTTGAAAATTCAAGATGGCCGCCACAGCTCATTCCAAACGGCTTAAATTCAGCTGTTTTAAGAAATACTGAACTGATCTTTTGTGTGATTGTTGCTAAGATTGATCCAAGAAACATGCAAGTCATGACTTATTCAGACATTTTCAGACATTCAAAACTGAACATTTGTGTAGAAGAAGCCAAAAAATAAAATAAAATAAAATAAATAAATACCAAATTAAAAATGCTAATCAAAAATTTAAGATGGCCGCCATAGCTAACTTTAAAAGTCTATAAGACTTATTGAGATGAAATTAGTTGCAGAGTATCTAAGAACACGTCGAACCTAATGCCAAATTAAGCTAACCACTAATGCTAATGCTAATATTACAAAGGGCTATAATTCAGCCTTTTTTAAACACACACAGCTGAAAAAAAAGAAAAATATATATAGTATATCTGTATCATAGAACAATTCTTAACAAAATGAAAAAACAAAATCATAGATCTCCACCCACTTGTCAGTTATCTGGGGGGGGGGGCACCTGGTGGCCAATCAGGTGCCAGGGGTGGAGCCAGAGGGGTGCCACCCCTCTGGCTCCACCCCTGTTTGTTTATTGTTAATATGTTTAATTTGTTTTCTTAATAAATGTTTTGTTTGTTTGTTKAAACTGAGACTTGTGTAACACTGTCAGCACACATCATCAGACTGATGTTAAAGCAGTCGGCCTGAAAACCCTGCATCTGTTGATCTTTACTGACAGTTAGAAAGAGAATCTGGTTCTGTTCTGTGGACCCAGAGACTCCCAGCTAAACACAGAACTTTAGCTGAATATCTAAAAATGAACAAAGTTGTAGCTGTTCTTGTGTTGGTTGTAGATGTTCAAACTGTTTGTAAAACAGAAACTTGTCCACGTCTTTAACATTCAGTGTGTTTGGATTAAAACAGCTGGAGTCCATCTGAGACAAACAGGCTGTTTGACCCGCCAAAATAAAAGCATTTCCCTCCAGTTTCTACGCATCTTGCCTCAGGCCACGCAGTGAATCAACGAGTTTCAGTAAACGTGACGACACCTTCTTCAGGAAAATGCCAGTGATTCAGTTCTTGGCTTGAGCCAGAACATTCAGAACCTGTGAGAGCTCCACACGGAGCTTTCTGTGGAACGAAACCCGCGGACAGATCCGATGACGAGCAGCAAACGAGCAGCAGCCACGTTGGGCTGCAGGGCGGTGGCTTCGACTGCGGTTCAGTCTGCTGCTTCCAGGAGGAATCTGCTCTGGACAACGTCCCACAGCTGGCCTCTGATAAGGAGAAAACTTTCTCTGAGCCCAGAATAAACTCTGCTTCATGCTGTGAGCAGTCACACTTTATCCGACATGAAAGGCCTCGTCAGCGGCGATGGCAGCAGGCTGACGTGTCTGCGTGGACGTGAGGAGTGGGAGGTGGACAGGAGGTTTTATTTAGGTGCCACCCAGCTTCAAATTACACACCAGATAACTCTTATTATGATTAAAGGCGAGGAAAGAGGCGTCACTCCTGGCTGCCCGGGCACGTTGTCAATCTGCTCCTCCTCCACATGTTCATCCAACGACAGGAGGGAGACRCAGCGAGCGCCTCTGAGCCCAAACTGCTTTCTTTTCTTCAGCTAAACACACATTCCCCTGTTTAAACCAACTGACCACAAACACATGAAAGCAGAGAGAGTGACATTTCACATGAATCTGTGACATTTCCTGTGTCTGAACTTAAATGACATTTAACCGAAAACAATTAGCTCATCGTGACATTTAACTACAAACGAAACAAATCTCTTAGTTTTCACTCAAATGTTAAAATCTGAACCAGTGGTCCAACATGTTACAACACAGGACCACCAGTAGTGACCAGTAATGTACATATATATACAGTGTATATATATACA